AAGGAATGGGGCTGAGTATTTCACTGCTGATCTACTAGGATGTTATCACAAAACCACAGAGTTTACAGAGAATGATAAAGAAAAAATATCCAGTGAGCCACAGTTCTCTGGATGAAAGTGCCATGTTGATGACAGAAGTCAGAGCGAAATGACCAGACTGCTCTGGGTTAATAGGAAGCCAATAGTAACTAGTCGTTACAACCAAGGTATGCAGAAGAGGATCTCTTAATGCAGAATCCTGCCTTGTATTAGCTGTTTAACCTTGTGATGGTGGTGTAATGTTTTGAGGGATACTTTCTTGGCACACCTTGGGCTCCTTAATATCAGCTGAGCATCATTTAAATCCCACAGCCTACCCGAGTGTTGTTGCTGACTACAGTGTACCCATCGTCTGATGACTTCTTCCAGGAGGACAATGATTCATGTCCTAAAGCTCAAATCATCTCAATCTGGTTTCTTGAACATGATGCGATTACCATGCTCGGACGGCCTCCACAGTCACCAGATCTCAATCCAATAGAGTACCTTTGTGACATTGTGAAATGAGAGATATCTCATACCAACATATCTGCAGTGTCTGTGTGATGCTATCATGCCAACATAGAGCAAAATCATCACGGGATGTTTCCAGCATCTGGTTGAATCTATGCCACAAGTAATAAAAAGTCAAACTTGCTACTAGGTATTTGTTATAAAATATGAAGTACAAAGAATTTATTATATGATGTATACATATGATAATTTTTACATTCTTAAAATAATTATCTGTATTGGTCTATTAGTAGTATATGATTCAATAATAAACCCATATTTTTTTAAAATCTTGAATAAATCTTTTTACCTTGGTTTAGTACAGATAATTTGTCAGATAGGAATTTGTAAGATATTACTAGCAGCACTTAAGGTGATTTGCTGCTTAGCTGGTTTCTTCTTTCAGGGTTTCTTTCCTTCTTTTGGTTCTAATAAGACATGACTTGATGACTCATCGGGCATTTTACAGGTTGTAAGTAGGCATTTGATTTCATATTCAATAAATCTGGGCAGTGCTTTCTCAGGAAACTGAAGTTCTCAAGTATGAAAAAAAAAATCAGTGTTCTGTATCGTATCTATTATGAAATGCCTCTTTAAGTGTAAAAAAGTAAGGTAAGAGATAGGTGTAAAGCAGAGTGCTTGAAGAGCCTGAATGAGATTAAGTCTTCTCAGTGCTGCTGTGGAGTAGCCTGCAGGCGCACACGGTTGTGGTCCATTTTCCCCTGTCCGATCCTGCTGAGTTCAGCAGATTGGTGCGAATTGGTTCAAGTTTATAGAGGAGGAACCACAGGGCTATATAGTTATTTGAGCAGGGCGAGAGAAATTGAGAGGAGACAGACAATCTGAGTCAAGCAGCACTTCAAAAATGTCTTGCTGTCAGATAGATCCACACGATGTCTGCAACTTAAACCAGAACATAGGATATCAACATAACCACTTAGATGAAAGTATCCATACAGCTGTATGTGCAATGCACATGTGTAAGCACAAAGATGTTAGGATGCAGAATCCAGTTATCAACAAATCCATCCCTCCATCCATCTTATTCAATTCAGGCTCATGGGTGGGCTGGTACCTATCCCAGCTATCGTCGAGCGAGAGGCAGGGCACGACCTGGACAGGTTTACAGTCTGATGCAGGGCTGATAATTTACAAATCATTTTAACAGTTGAAACTCATTATTGGACGTCACGGTGGGGCAGTGGTTAGCACTTTTGTCTCACAAGAAGAAGGCCCTAGGTTTGAATCCACCATCTGGAGTTTGTATGTTCTCCCCATGTCTACACAGGTTCTCCTTGTGTACTCTGGTTTCCTCACAAGACCAAATCAGGGGATCCACCTTTTGTTAGGATAATTTGTAAACCACTACACTTCAGAGATTAACCTTCCCCAGTATTTATTTATTGGGAAAGAGGGTGACATCTTTCTCTGTCAGTTTATCTGCTCTTTTTGTAACTAATTGAGGTGTGGATGTAAAAAAATAAAAATAAAAAATGAATGAATGAATGAATGAATAGTGTCTCAGATTCAACCTTTAATATCTGTGTGTACTATTTTCAATGAAATATAGATGATTTTGATGATTTGTAAGTCATTTAATTCATAGACACACATCCCAGAAGCTTTATAAAATTAATCTAAGGAGCAAATACTGCATCTGTTTGGTTAAACTCATGTTCTGTGCTCGTAACCTGAAACCAGTGGTCACATTCATTCATTCTGAATGGCCACTAGGCAGTGATCTGGGTCTTGGCCTGGTATTGAATGGACACTTTATGTATTTTAGACCTAAATCATAATTAATGGTGAATTTATGGCAAATGTCACCGCTCTGCACCCTGGTGTCCTTATTTTATTTTCACTGAATAGCCAGTCAAGAGTTTCAGAAGGTAATTTACAAGACAGCATCAAGAGCAACTGTATATTAGTGCTTAATGTTTGCAGTTGTTTATTGCTTCCCTTTATGAGTGTGTGCGTGTGTGTGCTGTAATCAATTAATCAATACCTTTGAGGAGCTCATAGTCACTCATTCCTTCTGGATAAATTTTCCCATTTGCAGCCTCCCCCCTTCTCTCCTACCCTACAAACTTATACACACAAATAAAGCACCACTTCCCTTATTTAATTACCATCTAACTTGTACCTGATGAGTTTACGCTGTATTTTATCTTGTCTCAATTACTGGAGACAGTATAATAAAAGACATGCTCCTAGCATCCTCATCTCAGTGAGAGTTACTTAGCTGGGGATGGAGCCAAAACGCTGTCCCATCTGTGTGAATGGGCCCCAGCAGAGCAACCAGACACTTTCATCAGTGCCAGTCATTCTGCTTAACGTCTTTGTCTACTTTGTTGCTACTATAGTGGCCATTCTGCAGCCAGCATCATGTACAGCATTGATCGATCTTATGATCTAATCCCCTTTTTCTCCGCTGCTGCCGGACTCCCTTCGATCTTTTGCCGCTGCAGCCACTGGTACATTGATGTCTTTATAAACCTGTCCACAGTTCATGCTACCCTGCATCTTTAATTCTTTAATTTCCTCTGTACACAGTGTCCCTTAAAGTATACACATGATGTTTCCCTGTGCACATACAAGGCACTTCTTTTTTTTAGATTTGTCATAATTTGTCATGTTTCAGATCATCAAACTGATTTTAATTTTAGACAAAGAAAACCCAAGTAAAGACAAAATAGTTTTTAAATGATGATTTAAAAACTTAATTGCTCCTTTGTTTAAAAAAAAGAAAAAAAGAGTAAATGCTCTCCCTTGTTAAATCATTAACTACCATTAGTAGTAAGGGTGGGAGTGGGGGGGAGGAGGAAAGGGTTACAAAGCCATTTTTAGGGCTTTGGGACTCCAGCAAGGAAACCTGGAACAGTGGTTGATGGTGAACCTTCCCAGGGGTGGCCAACCTACCAAAATTAATAATTCTCAACTCAATAATGGGTCACAAAAGAACCCAGGACAACATCTGAAGAACTGCAAGCCTCACTTACCTCTGTTAAGGTCAGAGTTGATGATTCAATAATAAGAAAGAGACTGGGCAAAAATGGCATTGATGGGAGAGCACCAAGGAGAAAACCACTGCTGAGCAAAAAGAAAACAGAGACTCGTCTCACATTTGCCCAAAAAAAAAAAAACCATCTTGATGATAAAATTGAACTTTATCAGGTTTGAGACTTGTTACATCTCGATTAAAACTAAGATAGTATTTCATAAACGGAACATCATACCAGCAGTCGAGCATGGTGGTGATAGTGTGATGGTCTGGGGCTGCTTTGCTGTTTCAGGACCTGGACAACTTGAACCATAAATTCTGCTCTCTAACATAAAACCCTGAAAGAGAATGTCCGGCCACCAGGGGCTGAAGGAAAAAAAAGAAATGAAACAAAATAAAGCTTTTGGAGACTTAAATCTGATTGAGATGCTTTGCCATCATCCTATATTGGCCCCAAAACACTCAAAAACGCTCCAAAGTGGCTAAATTCAAACAATTCTGCAAGAAAGAGTTGGACAAAATTCTTCCACAGTGATCTGAAAGACTTATTGCCAGTTATAACAAATGCTTGATTGTAGTTCTTGCTGCTAAGGGTGGCACAACCAGTTATTAGGTTTAGGGGGCATTTTTTCCCCCTAATATATAAAATTATCATTTAAAAACTGTATTTTCTATTTACTTGGGTTATGAAGCATTAAAACTTGCTTAACGAGCAGAAACTTTTAAGTGTGACAAATACGCACACAACTAAAAAAAGAGGACGAGGCCAATTCTTTTTCTTATTATATGCGTGCATGAGAAATCCTTGAGGTATTACTCATTTGGTCTGAACCTGACTTGACCCCGCAAGAGAGTGAGGTGATTTTCTTCCTTGGCTTGCTCCATCACTGAAGCCTCACTTCCTCATAAATACTTCAGGTTCTCAGTGTTCAAGGTTTAAAGCGATTTCCCTAAAATTAAGTTTCTGAGCTTGGGCTAATCCATCACTGCCATTTACTCTGCTTCCAGACAGGGTTTTTCTTTACAGGTTTATTAAATTAATACCTTTTCTGCCTGGCTTGTGGGAAAGGTCTGAATGAATTATGATTCCACACAGTATGAGTTAAATCATGCTTTTCAAACATGAAGATAAGTGAGGTGTCTCTCTTGGCGTGTGTGTTGCTCATTCTATCTCACTCTATCTAACTAATGGTGCACAAATGTCCTGTGACTGTGTGCGAGGCACATCATTAGGTAAATCTTTCTCTTTTTTTTTCTTGGCTCTTCTCCACTGGCAGATGGGGTTTGACATTGTTCCCTGGGAACGGATTGGTGCTGGGGAAAGTCTCCGAGGTATTTGCTAATGATACCGTTATGCTGAACTACCTCTTTGTCACCTCAGGTGTTGAGCTACTAATCTGTTAGTATTGGCTGGTACAGAGGGTTGTTGCAGAGGGCCGAGAGCCACTGGGAGAGCAGTGGCACAGTGGGGCCAAGCTCCAGCCCCTCTGCTGACCTTGGTGAAGGATAGAAAGGATATGAAGCTGTGCTACACCAGAGCTGTAACTGCAAAACTGCAGCACTGCTCAGGATCGCCTACTACTACGAAAGCCATTTCTGAAACGGAAGCATCAGGGAAATGAAAAAACAAAAGGTCTAAGAAACAACAGCAGTCAGTCATACAGGCTGCAAATAAGTCACCATTACAGCTAATTTATGTATATAATTGATTCTGAAGGTAAAAATAGATATGAACAATGCTGCTGTTCTTGTCTGCAAAAAAATCAATCTATAGGACTGATGGCCAAAATTACAAAAAGGACCTAAAAATGAGAAAAATCCTTGAACTAAATTTGTATCTTTCTCTGTTCTCGTTTTCATTCTTCCTGTTCCAACTGCCCCTCCTTCCTTTCTGGCTCTCTCTCTGATTCTCTTTTGGACGAATCCCAATGCCTTTGAACCGGCTGCACCCCGCTTTCTCTCTCTCAGTGTCTGCCTCCTTCATTCTGAGCTCAAGCAAAGGAAAGAGTAGAATAAATTGCATCCTCTCTTCTCCTCTGACAGACATTGCCCGTAGCTTTACTCCTATGGGGGACAGGTAACAACAGATAGTGGTTATTTTCAAAGGACAGCACTGCCTTTCTCAGTGATGCTTGTGAAAAAAGATGGCAACCCCGTGTGTGCGCATACACACTTTCCTGTTTAGAGTACCTCTGGTTAGCGTGCCTGGTTGGATGCATGACTGTACACGCATTGGAAAAGCCCTGTGTGGCTCCTGCAAATGTATCAATATTTACCGCCCATAACTCCCTACGCATCTCAACAGGTCAGTTTCTGATTGGAAAAACTTGAAATGGAGCTCAAGGGTGGATTTAAGGCAAGTGTGACACTTATCTTCAGCCACAATGTACCTGTGCAAAGAAGAAGCACACTAGGGACACTCCAGACTAATGGAGTGTTCATATATCACCGTGGAGATGGCTGTATAAGGCACCAGTGGGAATAATAGCATGTAAAGTGCATCAAAGCCGGGATCGGGCAGTCCAACTAATGCAAGCTTTGCCTCTACTTCACTCTCAAACGCGCAGGCAGGTATGAGAGGAGAAACAATTCTTGTGCTGAGAACAAAACAAAGTTGAAGAAATTGTCATTTAGTTAAGAAAACATCTGCGTCATGCGTGTATATGTGTCATGTGTGTGTATATGCATCCTCCAAATGGTGCAAGTGCAGCCCCACTGTTGTACCAGGAGAGCTACATTATTGAACCAGTCAGTCATACTGAGCTCAAACACGAGGGAACCAAGAAGTTAACTTTCAGCCAGGCTCTTAACAAAAAAAGTCAACAAGCTAGACAGTTTCCTGAAAGAAAGTTTTGCCTTCTCAAGCAGTGAAAAGCAGAGACAAGAATTTCAATTTAAACTTGAGTGACCTTTCACCTCCTTTCTTGGTGCTCTGATGTTTTAGCACTAAATATATGTTTACTGTCTACAATTAGTGACTGGTATTGATTTAACTACACTGCTTAGTGATGGCAGAAAAAAACAAACCTTAAAAACTGAAGGAAAGGTTGCAGAAAAAGCCAGAAAGAGAAGTTTTAAGAGGAACTGAGGGAAAGGACACCCTTTAATTCATACTTACAATTTCTTCATACTTATATATCATTTCAGTCCTAGCGAACTGTGTATTTATAATTCACATTCACTTTTTAAAATTCTTAAATCTAAGACTGTAAATTCGTTCCAGCATTCATTTCTTGCATTTTTTATGGCTTACATGAGGAATAGTGCCCTCTGCTGAAAAACATTTTAGGAGAATTCTGAACTGAGAAGGTTGAATACACTACAAATTTGCTCAATTTTGATGTTCCGTGTGTTTTATTGATTCGACCTTGAGTGTTCCCGTCAGATCTGAGTTCTGTTCAGCGAGACTCACGCCGTGTCTTCTTTGCCTTTCTGTGTCTCACACCGCCTTGCTCCCCCTCCACTCAGGTCAAACTGGCTGAAGCCATGCTGTGGACGAAGGGCAGCGCTGTGGCAGGTCTGTCTGCTGTCGGCAGGCTTCAACTGCTTCCTAGTGGCCTGTGTCATTCTGGTGGTGGTGCTGCTGCTGCTGGAGCTGCTCATAGACACCAAGCTGTTACAGTGTGAGTGAAAAATGAGGGAAAAATGTGGCTGGGATTTTTTTTTAAACTGGATACACCCTCATTTGCATAAAATGAATCATCAATGAAAATCATTGTGACGTAAATGTGAATTTAAGCAATCCTTGTCAAAACTACAATGATAATATATATTTATTAGTATTTTTAAAATCGTATAATATATTATTTTATAAGTAAAGAACTTTGACTAGAATACATTTCAGGCAAGTTTTTGTTTTTGCAAAGAAACTAAATCGCTGCTAACCTCATCTCGTAAATCTACTGTGTAATGAGAGAGTGTCATTTATGATCTGTTCTGGGACCCAAGGCTCTGATCAATCACGGTCTGGGGGGGAAAAAAACCTTCCATTAGTATTCCACAGTTAACACTGAATGGCAGGTGCTTGAAATTCCAGTCCGACCCATCTCACCCCAGTATCACCTTTTATCTACATTATCTGGCTCGGTGGAGACATCCTCATCTGTCATGAGCAGAGAGTCGGGAGCGTTGGCCTTTTTGATGTCAGAGGGCTAACACACATGGTCTTACACCAGCAATATCCAAATGCATTCAGGTCTTTACTGTTCCCCCGGGACCGACTCACTGAGCAGACAAAAGGAAAGTGAGACAAATGCGTGAAGGGAGATAGCGGACAAAGGAATCGAGCAACGCGGAGTCGGCTGCCGGGTGATTGTGGGGAGGACTGGAGGAAGATGAATTGACTGATAGACAGATCACTGAGCACAGCAAACAGAGACAGATGGGGAAGACGTGGGGCGTGACGAGAAGCGCTTCAGCTGACAGCGTAGTGCTGTTTGAGCTTGTCCACAATTAGCCTGATGAATAGAAAGAAGGCGCGTGCATGCACAGTATGCACTGGTTTCATACTTGTCATGATGCCTCATTCTTCAGTTGCGTTTTCCACAGATTTACTGCAACCTGTCAGTGTTATGCAGCATGTACACTGCAGGTTGTTTGTTATATTCCTAACAAAATCCAGCATCAACCTTTAACCACAGCTATCTCCTGATCAGTTTTTTCCTCTCTTTTTTTTATTCCCTTTAGTTAATAATGCATTCCAGTTTGCCAGCATCATCCACTGGATCAGCCTGGCCATTCTTTCTGTGTTCTTCACTGAGGTGAGTCTTCCTCCACTCGACGCAAAAAAACAGTCTCGCTTACAGCTGATGCAGCTGCCTCTTGATTAATGCTACGTTGTGCAGTATGTGTGGGCAAGTGAGTTACACTGGCAGATTCTCATTACAATACTAATAACGCCATGAAATGCCCGATGCCCTCTGTCACGGCATGATTAGATTGTGATTAGTGCAGGTGAACAAGAGCACACCTCCATTTATGGCGCTCATATATAAAAGATTTAAAATCGTGCACACATACCCTGAATGTGCACGTACAACCACTGCTGTTAAAGCTGGCACGCCCGGTTCCTTCTTAGATTGTTCGATTGATCTGCGGCATTTGTTTTTAAACTGAACCCTTCGGGCTTTTCTGTGCTGCCAGTTTTAAATAATTTCGAGGCCCCAGGTAAGTTCATTGTATTGTATTGATCACCGTTTTCCTCAGAGCCAGCCGCATTTGTCTTAGTTTCTTAAACTTGACCATCTGAGTGGTAACTTTTGTTTCGCTGGAGTCAACAGAGGGAACCCCTCAGTGTTACTCTGAAGCAGTGGATTCAGCAGTTTGACTGGTTTGTGGAGTTTGTTCAGAATGGCAGAAGATGGAGGTTTGTTTGCTCTCCGCAGTCGCTGCTGTGTCAGCAGAAGGAGATAGTGCGGTGCCTCTAATTTTTGCTCTTGCTGCGTGTGAATACAACTGATGAATTCGCACTGAAAGAATAAAAGAGGGGATGAAATGTCCAGTTTATTATTGACAATGACCACAGACTGCACTCTATCTCTCTCTGTCTCTCTCTCTCCGTCTCTCAATTTAGCTGTGATTGTATTCGTCCATCTTGCTCCTTTGTAACTTGCTCACTGTCCCTATCTCTGCCCCCCACCCCCATTCCTACTGTCTCAGACCGTGTTCAGGATCGTGGTGTTGGGGATATGGGATTACATCGAGAACAAAGTAGAGGTAGGCTCCCGTGAGTCCCATTAGTCCTGACTTGGGGCCCTCTTTCACTGCAGTGTCATTCCTTCAATGTCATAGCTCAGACTGGCAACTACATAAGCTCAGAGCAGTATATCAGTAACCTGGTGTGCGTGTGTGTGTGTGTGTGTGTGTGATGTGTGTGTGTGTGTGTGTGTGTGTGTGTGTGTGTGTGTGTGAGTGTGTGTGTGTGTGCGTTTGTAGGTGTTTGATGGAGCTGTCATCGTACTCTCTCTGGCCCCCATGGTGGCCTCCACAGTGGCCAATGGCCCCAGCAGCCCCTGGGATGCTATCGGTCTCATCGTTACGCTGCGGATCTGGAGGGTTAAGAGGATCATTGACGGTAAGGCTGGGAGGGCCTGGTGTCCCCTACATCCTGTCCTTTACTGTCAGTTAGATAATGCATAGTGCACCCAGTGGTATCAGCCTCTTTAATCTGCAGGTTGTTGGCTCACTTGAGACTTTTATCATTTTTTATTATTATTTTTACCAGTAATGATAGTAGAAGGACATAATATGCGATAATGGATTCAGTACTTACAGAAAAGCCACTATAGGCAAATAATTTGATCATTTTTTCAGTATTTTCATTTAGAGAGAATAAATAAATCCTTTTTTCATGTTCATGTCCTTTCTTATAGTTTTTCTAAGAGATACTTTTTTAAAAAAAAAAACATTTCTGTTTCAAGTCAGCTGTCAGCACCTACACCAACCACTCAAATGATGCTGTGAAATCTAAAGCACTCCAAATATTCCTTCAAATCTTCTCTTAAAACATACAGCTCTTTTTACACAAGCTTTGCAGGTAGTAGTCCATGTCATCTGGCACCAACTTTGAAAATATGATGGCTTTTATTTTACAAGATAAAAATATCTTACTGAGTGTAATATGTCCTTTTCTTCCAGCCTATGTCCTGCAAGTAAAGGTGGAAATGGAGCTGGAGATCCAACAGTATGAGAAGGCCAAGGCTGTGAGGGAGGAACAGCTTGATCGACTCACCCAGATCTGCCAAGAACAGGCCGTATATGTCCTTATCTCTTCTCTATCCCTCGTGCAACTTTATAGCTGTGTCTGACCAGCAGAGGGCAGCAAAGTGATGTGCACTAAAATAATAAATCTGCACTCAAAAGGACAAAGATGATAAGACAATCGATATGCATAATCTTTTTGCTGCAGTCTGGATATCACATAATCAGCACTATGCAATACCTCAGAGCAATATATGGGGTTGCGGTTCTGTCATTGTTTTAAGTCACATTACCAAAATAAAACAGTGAACATCACTGTGTTCTCCACTTCAATCCAGAAATGAAGACAAAGACTGTTTGTGTTCAAAATACTTGTGTGTCTTATTTTGAATTCCTCTGTCCTTTTCTCTCATCTTTTTCTTTTGTTAGTTTGAAATCAGGCAGCTCAGGGCCCACCTGGCTCAGCAGGACCTGGATCTTGTTGCCGAGCGTGAAGCAGCCATGCAGATCCACCATGTGTGGGGTAAACAGAGCAGCAGTTTCCAGGAGGTGGACGGTCTGGCCCCTGGGGCCTCTGAGCATCACAGGCCAAACAAAGTTAGAGAGCCTGGGGGTGCTGCAGGTAACTGTCCAGAATACCCAAGCTCTTTGTATTACAAGTTATCAACGACCTGTGTGCATGGGAAGGAGTCCAGGCTGCGCTTTCCGTGGTAAATCACGTCCATGCTTACACATGGAGAAGGGGGAATTTGTAGACTAAAAGAACCTGGCCAACCTTTGGGCTGGTTAGAAATTTTGAAAGAAATCCCTTCTGACTCAAAAACCTTGAACATTGCTCTGCTCTTCATGGTGGAGTGTTGGGCCATTAATCGTGGCCAACATACACGACACAGTGTCAGTGTCCTGTTTTCAAAAACGTTCAGCTCAGAGTCCACATCAAAATTCTGGTGCCGCACATAGATGGACTATAAACCTTTCACACAGTGACAGGTCATAACTTACAGGACTTAAAAGCAACAAAGCACTGTCAGTACAGGTGATGTCAGGGCTCCAAACACTGAGGCTTTTCCTTTATCAAAGCTATAAATCACAGTGCGATCTATCATACATCTGAGCCACAGTGTTTCTACTCAGACAACCTTTTAACTGGGCCTGAACCTCATATACTCATGTGGTATTGATCATCTGGTGATGGTCCTTTGGGACCTTGGAAAGCACTTAAGAGAAACTGTTTGACTCATTTACTATCTGTGAAACATTTCCACACACCAAAAGTGTTCATTACCATTGAGCTGAAATAATTTGTAAGCTAATATATTAATAGTAATTACTGATTAGTTGTTCAGTGGTAATAATATTTCAACCAAAAAGTATAAAACGTTTGCTAAATTCATATTTTGTAATAAAATCAATTTCCTGATTTATGTTTTATGTGATTGTAAGATGATCACCTTTTCAATTTGGACTGTTTTGTCACATAAAACAAGTACTTGAAAGAGTTTATTTTCATTTAAATTAAAGCACTGGTGTCAAACATAAGGCCCGGGGGCCAGAATCGGCCCAGCAAAGACTCCAATCCGGCCCCAGTGAACATGTTTTGAAAATGTGAAGGAGGGCATAGATTTTGGGCTTTTAACTGTATTTAAGTTTTACACTTTTTCTATATTTTTTAGTGTGTGAACAGTTTGTGTCTACTATGCAGTTCGTCTTGTTTCCACATGCTTAAATAATGTGAGTTGCTGTCATGTGATTCACTGATTAGATATTTGCATTAACCAGCAGCTGAACAGTTGGACTCAATAAATTATTGGTTAGTGAGTGTCTAGATTTTATTGTATTCCAAGTCACCAGTCATACACAATTTCAATTATGCAATTTCAAAGTAGTTGAAATTCTTATGATGTAGCTTGATGTTAATAAATTGTCCCTTAATGTCAAGAAAACTATATTCATGATTTTTGGAAATTGAAAAGAAGATGAAGAAAATACTGAATGACAGATCTGTAATAATAAAATTCTATGATGATGTAAAATTTTTAGGCATTGTGATCAATTGCAAATTAACATTGAATGAACAAACAAATAATCTGTAGTCCATGCTTTTAGTTTGGACTACAGATCAGCTTCCACGTTCACTCTGAATTCCATTTTTCCTCTTTTGTCTTTTTAGATCATCATGGTCAAGATGACATGAACAACTATATCAGCCAGTACTACAGTGAGCCAAGCAGTGGTAAGCTTCAGCAGACTCTTTCTTCAATCAAAGTGGCACCACAATATTTCAGGCTCTTACACATTGTCTTGTTTTGTAGACACAGGGATCCCAGACCCAGCGCGAGTCATTACAACAGCAGCCATAGATGTGCACCTGCCTAACAACCCGAGTCAGCTACCGCCCTCTTTGGTAAGCGCCGAAGCGGTGCCGTCCAGCCGTTTGCAGCGCACAGGCAGCTCGGTCAGCGAAGCCTCCACAACCACAGTGTCCCGCGCCAGCTTCAGCACCCGTCAGCACAGCATCAGCAGCCACACACTTGGCTCCACCATGGACTGCAGCTCCACGGTGCGCGAGGCCTCCACGTCCACAGACTACAGCGACCAACGTTGCTACCCTCCGCCCTACAGCAGCCCTCTGGCTCTGGGCACTCAGCCGAGAGGGAGCCCCAGCGCTGTGGTGCAGGAGTTGCTCTCTTCTCTGTCTGAGGACTCATGTCTCACACAAAAGGGCCTCGACCCCGTCAACCTGAAACCACCCAGCCCAACAGGTTCCACAAAAACCAGCCCCGAGCTGGAACACAGGGTCAACATCTACAACAAGAGGAACCAGGAGAGCCGAGTCGGACTCAACTCCAAGACAGTCATCCATCTGCAGGGTAACGAGCCTCTCCTAGAGGAGAAGTATAGGATGATGGGGCCAGTAGATACTCAAATCAACCGTCTATCAGAGACATAAGAGCCTGTAAAATGTATAACTTCACAGGACTCGCTCTTTATTTCAGCCACAAAAATTATTGCTCTACTAAATTCCCAAACTTCGCTGCTGGGAGTCACTGGCACATAAACTGTATGTCTGACATCCTCTTTGTACTACTGGAGCTGAGAGGATGAACCCGTGGGAGCAGCACAAACAAAGGGCATGGATGAGAGAGGGAAGCAGATTTGTTATCAGGCAACACTTATCAGGAATTGAGACTCATAAAAACACTTTTACTAAAAGAAACCAGCAACGGGGCTTTTGTCCAAAACTGAAAATCACTTTTGATACATTAAAGTCTGATTTCTAGGAAATGAAACCAGTGAGAGGATGGTGCTGAGGGCTTAGTTCCTCTGATACACTTTGTAGATGTGGAGATAATGGTGTAGGGACTGATTTGAGATATAAAGTGAAAGTTTCTTTCTGAGTGTAATATGTATATGAGCCGTTTTGTCTGTCTAGAATCTCCAAACTCATAAAGAAAAGTCCTCTTTGATGGACTGCTGCAGGGTACCATTGGATCTTCTTTCTAATCCGTTTCTATATTTGCGTTAACATTTTTAATCTAAATTCTGTGAGTGAAGAGAGTGCAGAATCCTTTTGATTGATGGATGATTCGTGTTGAGTTTTTATCCAGATGCCATGACTGGAAACCGACCAAACCCAGCTGAGTCAATGTCTGAGATTTTGCAAACTATGGCATGACCATCACTCGACAAGCTAACTGAAAAACCTACCTACACATGACATATTTCACACAATTCAGGTCCATCTTTTTTTCTTTGTATTACTTTAATGTTTGGAAGTTGTGTAAATATTTCAGATTGGGTTTGGTCATCTAGTCGCAGCTCAAAAACAGCGAGGGACTCGAAAGCTAGAATAAAATGCTGAAGAGGACAGAATAGCATGAACCTCTCAGATTTGCCACCATATTGCAAAGTCTGTTTATTGTTCTGTCAACAGGTACTTTCTATCTTGATCATGGAAAGACATCATTGCAAAAAGAACCCAATAAAGTGAAAAACATGGCAAGTTAATAAAACAAGTCATTAGTGTCAATTAAATAAACTTTCTAAGAGCATGTCATTAGTCACATAACCTCTAAGTCAGCACGAAGAGCTACATCTTAGAAGGAATCACAGAGCTGAGAATTTCCAAAGATCTCCTTTAATGTCCCAGAAAGTTACATACAAATAACACATGTGCTACCGTAAGCAAAAAAAGGAAACCTCCAGCCAAAAGGTAAGTACAATGTATTTGCTGAGAGTAACGGAGAGAAGATAATGAAATTCTCTGCAAGCAGGACTCTCAGCTTTAAATATTTCTTAAGGTGGAGACTGGTCGTTCTCAGATTCTGGTGGGAGTTTGTCTCTCTTCACTTGCTGAGAGCTTCAGTCATCTCAGGAACAGCCTTAAAAGAAAAACAGTGAAGACATTTAGTGTTGGTCCACTATTTCGCACTAGCACTGTTCAACAAATGCATTGCATTACATTTCTCAGCTGCATGTTGGTACTCGGAAATTTATCAATAGTACACCAGGCTGCAGATACTGAAACATTCAATGATGAATTCAGAAAGACTTCTGGCCTAAAAAATAAATAACAACCCTGATAATGTAGTCTGTACAGTTTAGAAAAAACAGATTCAAAGGCCTCTTTTAGCTGCTAAATATAAGTGCGAGGCTATTAAAATTGTTGTTCTGGTGAGCTGAGCAACTTTCACATCAGAATCAGAGTACAACATGTAGTGAAAATCGTGTGTCCGAACTGCGGACAGGCTGCAGACATTCCAGGGCTTGGTTTCTAGCATGGGGGGGTCTAGGCAGGACCCTTACTGGATACCGGGTGGGAATCAAACTTGTGACTCCCACTCCGAAGGTGTGTAGTCTTACCACTACACTACCCAGCTGGGTATCAATTCACCATTTGGAGGCAGTAGTAGAAAGCCTATCCATTTTAATCAGTTATCTGTGGAACGATCACACGTAAGATGATCTCATTGCCCGGTAGGTCGCAACTCTGCTGCCACAAGCTATTATTACTAATCACTGCTACAGAGTTGGTCAGGACACCTGGGCTGCTCAGGCACTACTGAGGACCTAAATAAAACATGATCACCAGGACACAAATGAAAACAGACTTTTGCAGGCAGCACTGGACTCCACTGAGTCATGCTAGTACACCTGGCTCACCATCCCAAAGTATCAGCTAGACACCTGAACGCAACTGAGCATATAAGAGGCCTGGCAAGCAGAGGCTTTAAAACCACACTGAAGCCAACTTCTGTAAGCTATTGATCTGTTTTTATATCTTCTGATATCAGGAGAGTTATAGCTTGCACTCTCCTCAGATTAATTCAAGAATTTAATAATTCAACGGTTGCACATTTCCATTAGGTGGAATAAGGCATCATGCAAAATTTATCCAGGAGAGAGCAAATGTTATATTCTGGCTATCACTCACGACTCGAGAAACATACAAAGTAAATCCAGGCATTGCTTGGTTGCTTCCTAATGTGGGATCATAGTGACATCATTATAGCCATATCAATCCCAGAGGCTTACTTTGAAAAGATCGGCTACCAAACCGTAGTCAGCCACCTGGAAAATAGGAGCTTCAGGGTCCTTGTTGATAGCAACAATAGTCTGAAGTGGAAAAAAAAAAAGAGACAAAAACAACCAAAATGTTACATTTATGTTTCTTTAGATTTTACTTTAGTTTTCACAATGGACACAGAAAACGGATTGTTTAAAAAACAAAGTTGTGAACGGGCAGACTTTAATATGATGCTTCACGCCTGACACAATTTTATGATTTTGAACGTTTTGCAATTCTTGCAATTCGTTTTCCTTCTTTTTTTCTTCATGTTCCACAAGAATACAACCAAAATACAAACACGCTGGTAGCCAGTTGTGCGTGTGTGAGTCCCATCGAGCGATGCCCATTGAAAGAGACTGCCAACATGTTACCATCAGTCAGAATCAATCTGTCTGCATTTATAAATTAGATGATAACTATTTGCAGACGTTCAGCATTCTCTCTGGGAGCAACTGCAGTCACTCCAAATCAGACTCCAAATGTTTGCAGAAAGGATGCCGTCTATCAGGCGAGATTAGGCCTGTTGTTCGTAGTATTTTAATTTATTTATTAAAATATCAATATTTGATGTCCCTGTATCGATCCAACATCGCCAAGCAAAATATCATTCTATTTATGCATTTGAGATGTATTGAATTTTTCCTCCCACTGCTAACATAAAAGATTCATGATATAAACAAGACAAAAACAATTAAAACCCACAGCAAAGGTCAAAATCATCTCAGTGGGTATTTTGAGCATAACCATACCAGGTAAACATGTTTTTGGATCACAATGTTAAGTCACCAGAGAACACCAAGTGCAACTTTATTATTTTTAAAAAATTAATATTAGAAGTGAAACTTTCCATTCTGTTTATTACAAACTAACAAAGTTAAGAGAAGAAAATCAGAAAAATAGAAAATGGAGCACACACCGCTCCAGTGACTTTACCTTGCTATCCTTCATTCCTGCCAGGTGCTGGATGGCTCCTGAGATACCAATAGCAATGTACAACTCCTGTGAACATGAAAAGCACAATACAACCAGGCAAATGTTACATGTGTTACATGCTTAGGATCTGAAGTTTAAGCTCAAGGCTAGGCCATGGATTCTGGCTGCATAGTTTCTAGATGAGCTTGGAAAGGGTCGGCCATTACTACATCTCCTGAACCTTCCTTGGAAGAACGCTCCCAACCATTTAATACCATATGAATATTTTAGTTCAGGGTTATTGTTGCACTCGGAAATTTCAGAGGATAAGAACATCATTCTACAAACGTGACTGACTACGTTCTACCAGTCAGATGAAAAAGAAATATATATAAAAAAAAAAAAAAACCCAGCACGCCCCTGCGGGCGGTTTATCCTTCAAGCTCGGGTCCTCTACCAGAGGCCTGGGAGCTTGAGGGTCCTGCGCAGTATCTTAGCTGTTCCCAGGACTGCGCTCTTCTGGACAGAGATCTCCGATGTTGTTCCCGGGATCTGCTGGAGCCACTCGCCTAGCTTGGGAGTCACCGCACCTAGTGCTCCGATTACCACGGGGACCACCGTTACCTTCACCCTCCACATCCTCTCGAGCTCTTCTCTGAGCCCTTGGTATTTCTCCAGCTTCTCGTGTTCCTTCTTCCTGATATTGCTGTCATTCGGAACCGCTACATCGATCACTACGGCCGTCTTCTTCTGTTTGTCTACCACCACTATGTCCGGTTGGTTAGCCACCACCATTTTGTCCGTCTGTATCTGGAAGTCCCACAGGATCTTAGCTCGGTCATTCTCCACCACCCTTGGGGGCATCTCCCATTTTGACCTTGGGACTTCCAGGTTATACTCGGCACAGATGTTCCTGTACACTATGCCGGCCACTTGGTTATGGCGTTCCATGTATGCCTTGCCTGCTAGCATCTTGCACCCTGCTGTTATGTGCTGGATTGTCTCTGGGGCATCTTTACACAGCCTGCACCTGGGGTCTTGCCTGGTGTGATAGACCCCAGCCTCTATGGATCTTGTACTCAGAGCTTGTTCTTGTGCTGCCATGATTAGTGCCTCTGTGCTGTCTTTCAGTCCAGCTTTGTCCAGCCACTGGTAGGATTTCTGGATATCAGCCACCTCCTCTATCTGCCGGTGGTACATACCGTGCAGGGGCCTGTCCTTCCATGATGGTTCCTCGTCTCCCTCCTCTTTCTTGGGTTTCTGCTGCCTGAGGTATTCACTGAGCACTCGGTCAGTTGGGGCCATCTTCCCAATGTATTCTTGGATGTTCCTTGTCTCATCCTGGACTGTGGTGCTGACACTCACCAGTCCCCGGCCCCCTTCCTTCCGCTTAGCGTACAGCCTCAGGGTGCTGGACTTGGGGTGAAACCCTCCATGCATGGTAAGGAGCTTTCTTGTCTTTATGTCAGTGGCTTCTATCTCCTCCTTTGGCCAGCCTATTACCCCAGCAGGGTACCTGATCACGGGCAGGGCGTACGTGTTGATGGCCCGGATCTTGTTCTTACCATTCAGCTGACTCCTCAGGACTTGCCTGACCCTCTGCAGGTACTTGGTGGTTGCAGCTTTTCTAGCGGCCTCTTCATGGTTCCCATTTGCCTGCGGGATCCCCAGGTACTTGTAACTGTCCTCTATGTCTGCAATGTTGCCTTCTGGTAGTTCAATCCCCTCAGTTCTGACTACCTTCCCTCTCTTTGTTACCATCCGACTACACTTCTCCAGTCCGAACGACATTCCAATGTCATTGCTGTATAGCCTGGTAGTGTGGATCAGTGAATCGATGTCTCGTTCACTCTTGGCATACAGCTTGATGTCATCCATGTACAGGAGGTGGCTGACAACTGCTCCGTTCCGTAGTCGGTATCCGTAGCCAGTCTTGTTAATGATCTCACTGAGGGGGTTCAGGCCTATGCAGAACAGCAGTGGGGACAGAGCATCTCCTTGGTAGATCCCGCACTTGATGGTGACTTGTGCTATGGGCTTGGAGTTGGCCTCTAGTGTTGTACGCCACATCCCCATTGAGTTCCTGATGAAGGCTCTTAGGGTCCCATTGATCTTGTACAATTCTAGGCATTCCAGTATCCAGCTGTGGGGCATTGAGTCATAGGCCTTCTTGTAATCAATCCAGGCAGTGCACAGGTTGGTCAGTCTGGTCTTGCAGTCTCGGCTGACTGTTCTGTCTACCAGTAGCTGGTGTTTTGCGCCTCTGGTATTCTTGCCAATTCCTTTCTGTGTCCCACTCATGTATTGACCCATGTGCCTGTTCATCTTAGCCGATATGATGCCTGACAGGAGCTTCCATGTAGTACTGAGGCAGGTTATTGGTCGGTAGTTGGAGGGGACCGGTCCCTTCTTGGGGTCCTTGGGGATCAGGACCGTCCGACCTTCGGTTAGCCATTCCGGGTGTCTCTCGTTAACTAGCAGCTGGTTCATTTGTGCTGCCAGACGCTCGTGGAGTGCAGTCAGCTTC